TTTTAATATTTATTTTTTAGTTGTACACACACCTTTATTTTTTTATTTATTTTTATGTGGTGATGAGGATCGAACCCAGGGCTTCACACGTGCTAGATGAGCATGGTACCACAGAGCCACAACCCCAGCCCAACCAATGGTTTCTTACATATGACCACAAAAGCACAAGCAAACAAAAAATAAACTGGGCTTCATAAAAATCAACTTATTTGTCCTTCAAAGGACATGGGAAAGCAAAAAGATACCTGATAGTCAGCTGGTACGTCAGAGAGAAAACCTTTAATAAGTTTTTTCTATGCTGAGACCTTCTCTAATTCACCAAATGGGCTTTTCCTTCTTAAAAATTATAAAAAAGAAAAATAGGATGCAAATGCACAATTTAACAACAACAAAAAAACTAACATTTAGAATTACTATATCTTTAAATGTTAAATTATTGAGGGTGGGTTAGGAATAGGCTAAAAGAGGTAAGGAAGAATGCTTTATTATTGATGTTGCTTGGCAGAATATAACAAAGTAATGATTTAAATGCTACATATTTAGTATAATAAATAGAATATTTCTTAAAGACTTTGTTTTTTCATTCAAAGCCAGACACTGTCTACATTTTTTAAATTCTTCATTGTTTTACTAATATGTAATTCATTAAGAGTACTTTTACTTAGAAACATTCATTTTTCCTAAATATTTTACTTTTAACTGTAGGAGGAAAATGTCAGCTCTTCTCAAACTGAAACATATTTCTTCTGACCAGTAGTCAGATGCGTTATCCATTGTGCCACTGGCCCATGCTTGAAACATATTTCTTAAGAGAATGTCTTCAAATAGGGAAGGCAATCTAATACTTTAAATCACCAAATTTATATAAACTATTGCTAATGCTCTATTTCTACCAATAACTAAGAGGTTTTCAAACCCTAAATATTCAAGGACAAAAGGTACATGATAGACATGACTTTTATGAGACTTATTGTTGCTGATGTTCAAATTCTGTGAATTTTAGTGAAACTTACAAAAATTACCTATTTCTCACAAAATTGTGTACAAAGACACCACAGTCATAACAATCATGTTCTATGCCTCAGCACATCATTCTTTTACTACTTCGTGTTGATTTGAGATATAGCTGCAATCATTTTTTACCTTTTCTCATCATAAGATGATGTCAATGTCTTTTCTGATGGGTCTACATGGTTCTATCACTGTTTCCCACAAAGAGACAAGAGATGCCAGGTGACTTGAGGCTGTATCATACCAGGCCTTGAAATGTCTGCCTTGTTTACAAGAACACTAAACAACTACATAAAAACTTTAAATACTCCAAGGCCACTATACAGAAAGGCCACCTGTAGGCGCTCCAGCTGGGCCCAAGCTTCTATTAATCCCCACCTTGGAGACAGACATGTGAATAAAGAAGCCATCTTGGAAGGAGACTCTCCATTTCTGACTGTTGTAGTCCCTGGCTTTATGCTTTTCCCAGATGTGGCCTAGATATGCAGCACTGACAGTCCATCTCTGCTGTGTCGTGTCTGAATTCCTAACTCATAGAATCTGTGCAAAGAATCAAATGCTTGTTGATGTATGTCCCTCTATTTGGCCTGATTAGTTTCCCAATACTGGATAACCAGAGCACAGGCTAACAACCGAATTGAATAAATATTAGAAGAGTGTCAACTTTTGAGCAAATGAATCCAAAGCCTAGTAAAGACACAGTCACAATCCTAAAGGAATCTGCAACCCAGAAGATTCCAACTTGCTATCAGCTTGCCAGGATTATGCAGTCTGCAGAACAGTGTGTAGCACACAGTACACAATATCTGTTGAATGAATGAATGAAGAACTATATTATGTACAGTTGAGTTTTAGAAGATAAAACACTTCTACTTGAATTTTAACATTTTAAATTGAGACCAGAGAAAGGCAAGATCGTCATCATTTGTGTTCATATGGAATACAAAAATCTTATTAACTTTTATAATTTAACATTTTATATTTGTATTAGTAATCACTCTGTACTATTTATAGCAGGCAAATAACCACTTTTCCCAATAATCCACCTTTACATTATATCTTTCACATTTAGGTTTAAGATACCTTGGAAATGAATAAATTCGGACCTCAAATATTAATAAGCACACCTGGAAAATGAACGTCCAAAAAGATGTAATTGTTTATCAACTTATAAATAAAAAGGATAGTTTGCAATTCATAATTTTTAAAATCAGCATCATAAATGTTTTAATAGAAAATACTCTATATTAAATTCTTATATGCATACTAGTTCAATGAATATTCCTAAAAATCTAAGAAATTTTTAACTCACTTCTCTCAATTAAGACTTTGTTTGGTTCCTCTAAATCTCATAATTAATATTGATAAAAGGTCACAAAAGGCTAGGTATGGTGGCACACACCTGCAATCCCAGCAGCTTGGGAGGCTGAGCAGGAGGATTACGAGTTCAAAGTCAGCCTCAGCAACTTAGCAAGTCCCTAAGCAATTCAATGAGAACCTGTCTCTAAATAAAATATTAAAAGAGAGCTGGGGATGTTGGCTAGTGGTTAAGTGCCACTGGATTGAATCCCAAGCACTAGCACACCCCCTCCAAAAAATAAAAATAATAAAAAAAAAAGGCACAAAAGAATCTTATACCCTAAGAATAGAACTATGAAGAGAAATAAAAAGCTCAAAGTATTCTACAGCCATAATGAGGCCTGACCCAGATTAGCATATTCCAAAGCCTGGTGCCAAATTCTAGGAAGTCTTATGTTCAGATTCAATGCCTACTGGTGACAAAAGACACACAGGAAAATTAAAATTGAACTACATGCATTTTCAAGTCTATCCATCCTATTTTCTCTTTTTTCAGGATCGATGACCAAACTCAGGTTCTTGCACATGCTAGGAAAGCACACTGCCACTGAGTTAAATTCCCAATCCTTAGCCTATTCTTTTTAGGCCTCCATTTTCAGACAACATAGTTTAGATATAGGCAGTTTCTCTGTAAACCTAAGCATTTCTAACATTTTTTTTTAATTGGAATTATGCTTTATTTACATTAATCCTTCTTATTTATTTATTTATTTATGTGTTACAATTTCTAACATTTTAATGGCATCTCATTATTTTTCATTCTTTCCTCATATGTCTTAATTATTTCTAATGAGTACTACAATACCATTTAGGAACAGAATGAACTTGTATATTCATGGATATGTATAGTAGTAGGGCACATGATCTGTCTGTGATAGGGTCAAGCATGGCATATTAGAAGGTAAACAAAAATACTAAAGTTGAAGTCTAACTCTATCATAAACTAGCTATAAATTTTTATGACAGTTTCCTCATTTGTAAAATGAGGGGGAAGATTAGATAATCTCCTTTCATTCTATGATTTTATGTTGGTTTAATGACAAGTCATTGCCTGCCAGACTCATATCTAAATGCACTATAATGTATTTGCATTGTTTTTCACAGCAATCAAGATACCCACAGATTCAAACTGTGCAAATGGCTTACCTTGAAGTTAAGAAATCAATACATTTATTTCTGTTATTTTATGTGGTCCTATAAACCTTTTTATAAAACCTAGTGACTTCTCTTTCATATTTTAATCCTTCCTATAGCTTAAATAATTTTAAAGATCATCTTTTATTGAAATCAAATTATAAGATTCACCAATCAAGAGGATGTGGGGGGAAAAGGCATACTCACACATTGCTGGTGGGACTGCAAACTGGTGCAACCACTTAGGAAAGCAGTATGGAGATTCCTTAGAAAATTTGGAATAGAGCCACCATTTGACCCAGCTATCCCACTCCCCAGTCTGTACCCAAAGGATTTAAAATCAGCATATTACAGCCCACATCAATGTTTATAGCAGCTCAATTCACAATAGTTAAACTGTGGAACCAACCTAGATGCCCTTCAATATGAATGGATAAAGAAACTGTGATACATATACACAATAAAATATTACTCAGCATTAAAAGAGAATAAAATGTGGCCTTTGCAGGTAAATGCATAGAGTTGGAGACTATCATGCAAAGCAAAGTAAGCCAATCCCAAAAAACCAAAGGCTGGATGTTCTCTCTGATAAGTGAATGCTAATCCATAATGGGGGGCAGGGGCATGGGGGCAGAAAAAATGGTGGAATGAGATGGACATCATTACCCTAGGTACATGTATGACTGCACATATGGTGCAATGCTACATCATGTACAGCCAGAGAAGTGAAAGGTTGTGCTACATTTGTATAAAATGAATCAAAATGCATCCTGCTGTTACATACACCTAATTAGAATAAAAAAAATTTAAAAACTATTGAATATCTTGAAAAAACATGAGTTAAAAAAAAGATTCACCAATCAGCTAACTAAATTACTTAACCACTTTAAAAGCTTTTTAATCAGAAAAAAAAAAAAAATCCAGTTTTCCAACTCCTAGTTCTTGTTCAGTTTAGCCTCTGAATAGACTCTACAAGATCTTAGCAAATAAAATCATGCACCTTATTTCCATACTTATTTTTCCAACAAAATTACCATTTTTATTAGTTGTATAACATCCTACTGGATTGATACACTACTGTAATTTTAATGCTTCTCTACTTGTAAGTAATTATTTTGACTACAATTTAACAAACTATACACAAGATTGCAGTAAATATCTTTATATATAAATTTTCCTTCCTTTGGATTATTTTCTTAGGATAATAAACTAGATAAAAGCATATTTACATTTATAGCTATCACCCATTTGAATTTGTTTTGTATTATAGTAATAAAAATATTAGTAAGTATAAAACTAGCTTCTCACTATAATTTCTATATTCATGTTTTTGATAAATCATCAAGTTAAATATTATCCCATGCAACTTATTGTATTAGATTTGTCTATTTATTTACTGGTGCTTGGTCTGTTTTTAACCAATTTTTTGTTTATTTGCTTCAACAATCTTTTTATAAAACCTAATTGTTTGTCTTTCTTTCCTATTTCTGGCTTACCTGTTTTTAAGATGTGCCTCCAGATCACAGCGTTGCATTACATCTTGGCACACTGAAGAAAATGGACATAAAACTAATAATTTGTCTAGAAGTTTATGAACTAGAATGCTAGATTTCTTACACAATTTGAAATGAAGTCTTTTGCGGTCCAATGGACAGAAATCTTTCTCTTGTAAAAAGTTTCTGAGGCACTTGTAGCAGAATGTATGTCCACAGGGCGTGTCTAGTGGCTGCAACAGAGGCTGAAGGCAAATATGGCAGACGAGGTCATCATCCACTTCATCCTGGTAATTATATAAGTGGTTTTCTCTTGTCCAGTGCTGTTGGCCACACTCAAAACACAGGGGGTTTAGGGAAGAACAGGAAGTCTGTTCCACTGACACCATTTCATCACTTGTTGTTCCCATTTTGAATCAAATGATGCAGTTTCTGTACCCTCATATATTAGACTTCCTCTGGAGGTTTGGTATTCCTTGAATAGACAGGGATGTATCTGATTATAGCCAAAATCTGTTTTTCTAGATAAACAATACCAAAAAAAAGTAATCAGTATCAATCAATAGGTTTAAAACAGTGAATATAGCATTACTAACATTTTTAGTACAAAATTAAAGTTTAGATCAGGTAACAAATTAGCCATAAAGATAAAGATAATTATTTCATAATTTATGAAATAAATTAATTTCCTCATAGCTAAGAATGACTTACACACTATTAAGATGTTGATGAAAAAAGAACTTGTGATTAAAAGCAAAGATACCATGTTATATGGTATGACATAAGAAATAATCAATTTGTTTTACTGACTGAAATCCCCAAATATTTCACTGTCTAATGATAGTTTTAAAGTCAATTAATCTTCATAATATTCTAACAGTGCATTCTGTGGTATATTATGTTAATACATTTATTTTTGCCATCCCAGCCATCGCTTCTTACTTCTGATTTGGTACTATACAAAAGATAGTGTGTTTGAAATGTAGTCTTAAGGATAATTCAGTTTGTTAATAAAGTGACCTTTTGCTCTGCACTGTGGGAAAAAACTTCAAAGCATGATTTCAATATTCTCCCTCATATAAAACTGATTATAGAAAGATACATCTGCATAGCATATAAACATCTGTACAAACTGTTAGGTAAAATACTATTTTATTACATTAAATGGAAAAAAAAATCTGCTGTAATTCAATTAAATAAGACATGTGGTAAATTTCAATTCTACTTCACATTATTCCATACTTTCATTAGGTCTTGCTTACTTGGAGTGTGTATATTCTCGCCAACACAAGACTCTCACAACATTCTCCTTCAGGTTAGTACATGCCTAGTAGGGAACATTCCCCTCATATAAAGGCTTCCATACTTCTTACTGCCGAAGCACCAAGGGTTAAAAAATTAGATTCAATCCCTGATACAATAAAAAACCCAAAACATACATATATATGTATATACGTATATATGTATATATGTATATACATATATATGTGTGTGTACATATATACATTTCCAATCCAAAGGCAGCAGCTCTTCATATCCTTTCTGTAAGTATTTACAGAGTCTCCAGTATATGCTTAACACTGAAGCCCGGCAGAGGAAGAGGACAGTTAAGAAAACCAGCTATTAAAATTCTGTGTAATAAGTATTCTAAAGAAAGTGACACACAGGGTCTTGTATGAATGTGGGAAAGATGAGGAGAACTGGCATTTAATTCCATTTGGCTTTGTGGCTGGAAATACTTTTAAAAGAGGAAGAAACAAAGACTGCTGAGTTGTGACAGGAAGCATTAACCAGAGAGGAAAAATGGACAAGGGCATCTGGGGCAAGACAATAGCATCAGCTAGTAGCATCAGTTACATTTTCACAAGTCACAGGGGTTAGAAGGTGCACAAAACACTAAGGAAACCTGAAGCAGGTAAAACATCTCAGACAAAGAACATACATTGGGAAAGGGGAACTCAAAAACTTAGTATCCCTGCCCAAGGACAGGAAGAGTAAGATAACCTATTGATTCTACTAGTGTTTGTATTTCAATAATTAAATTTTCCTCCAATCACATACAGATATTTACTATTTTATTTATTTAGAGCGTTTATTTTAAAACATTACATTTTAATAGATGTAACAAGAATGGTCATGAGTTTTAAGGGGATTGGGAAAAAATTCTGGTAGAACAGTTTGACCTGATCTTAGATAAATCATGATTTTTAAAGCTATCCTAGTAAAATAACCTGTGGTCTAAATACCAACATTAAGAGAGCCAAGCCTTCTTTTATTTGGTAACCTATATGGGATTTGTTCTTTGCCCTTTTGAACATTATGACTTTTTAAAATGTTAGTGTAAGCCAGGTGTAGTGGTGTACACCTGTAATCCCATTGACTTAGGAGGCTGAGGCAGGAAGATGTCAAGTTTGAGGATAGACTGAAACTCAGAGATAAAGTACCCCTGTTCAATCCCCAGTACCAAAAAGTGCAAGATATGAATGAGATTAAGGAGAGAAACATCATGTATCTCAGGAGATGGACTGCTTCAAACTAAGTATTCTAATACAGAATTTCTACAGATTCTTGTTTCCCTCTCAATTAGCAAGAAAGTTCACATATCCTTCGCTTTGTTTTGAGTGTTTAATTTTTCTTTTCCTCAAGAAAATGAACTGCAGTTCTAGCCTCCCACATAATGACTAAGAAAGCATTTATTTTAAGACTATTTTAGCTATTTCTAAATCTCTAACTTTAGTTCTTTATTTTTATTTTATCACAAAATCTTTTCATGAGGAAAATTAACATGTTCTTATTTAAAATACCAAAAAATTGCATTATCTCCACCCCCAAAATACCTCTATGCTACCATGAAACAAACATTAAATAGAAACTGAACTGTGAGGCCCTACGGCCAAGAAGTAAGAGCACAGACCCAGAACTGGTCTGAGGGGCAAAGTCCTTGGTTGGTCACTTACTACCCTTGTGATCTTATGTTTGATCTGTTTCCTTCTCCAGTGAAAAGTGGGGTTAATAACAGTGCCTATCTCAATAAAAAGTAAAAGTGTCGCTTAAAACAATGCCCAACACATAACAGATGCAATATAAATGTTAACTATTATTAAAGAAATAATAGTTCTGAGAAATTTTATGATGTGCCCAAACAACTCAAAATTAGTGAGAGAGAAGAAAAAACCCTTTCTTTCTTGCTTCTAGATATTATTACAGTAAAGAGGAAAGGTATCTCGTGAGTAAATTTTGTATAGGGGAAGACATCCTGGTCCCACGAAGACCACTTTCTCTCTTTTTGTGGTTTTCTTTCTCTGGGTAGATAATTTTCTTTCTGCTTTGTGTGAAGTCCACTGCACTGCCTCACACTACTCCTTTGGTAGGGGCTCTAAATTGTGAACTTGCCCTGGTTTGCATGTGTCCCCCAAAGGCTCAGGTACTAGAAGCTTGGTCCTTAGTGTGGAGGTGTGGAGGTGGTGGTCTTTGGGAGGTAGGGCCCAGTGTTAGGGGACTAGGTCACTGGGGTACAATACTCAGAAGGCATTAAAGTAGTTCTCCAAGGGCCCTCGCTAATTCCCACAAGAATTGCCTTAAAAAGAGCAAGCCTGGCCCTGACTCTCTCTGGATTCCCATTTCACCATGTCACCCTTCAGCAAGCAGTTGTTTTTCCTTTCTCTTCTATACTGTGATGCAGCTTGAGGGAGCTGACCCCTAGGCCAAACAGATGGACTTTTAGTCTTTAAAACTGTGAGCTAAATAAATCTCTTTTTAAAATAAAGTATTCAGCCTTATGTATTTTGTTATAATAACAGAAAACAGATAAAGAACTTTAAGAGTTGGGGCTTCCATAGAAGAAAAAGAAGCTCAATAATGTTGAATGACCAATTGCACAACTATATTCTAATTCTTGGTAAGTTTAGGTGACCAAAATTATATATCAATATCTATCTTATCTGCCCAAGTTTATGTATAATTTTTATTTTAATTATTATATATAGAATCTATGAGCATAGTTTAAGATATTAAAATACAAGTCATTCAGTCTTGAACATTTCTCAAAATATAGAGACAAAATGTAGCATAATGTGTCTTTACAAACTACATTATCTGTTTAGCAATACTCTAAGAGTAGTAAAGAAAAAAAACCTATTAAACTGGCTTCAATTATTACAACACATTTTAAATAATATATTGAAAAGTAGCCAGTGTAATGGAAAGGAAGTTATAAGTCACTGCTTACTACTTAACCCCAGGTATGATTAACATGTTCACTCTTCCTGGTTTAGGGGACAAGAATATCCTGGTACGTCAAAGATTTCAGAAAGAACTACAGTTCACTATTAATATACAAACTAATATACAAACTAAATAGCATTCAGTTAATTTCTCTTGATATTGCTTTTGACTCAGATTTAAAGAGTCCTCACTGGCCCTAGCCTAGGAGATCCAGCTCAGAAAAAAAGATGATGAGCTAAGAGCTACCACAAAAGTAAGGTTAGACATTTGTAACTGCTGTGACTTATCAGTGCCTTATGTGGAAGAACACCCTCTCAATCCCTCTGGCAAACTCCTCCCCCTCAGCGCACCTCCCTCCCTTAGGCTCCTGCAGCTCTTTACACACACACACACCTTTATTTCAGCACCTTCCATGCTGTACATTTGCTTATATGTTTCCTCTTTTCTTTGAGAGCACAGATAGTGTCCTTTTTGCATTTTTTATTCCTATTTCTTGCACTTACTATGCACTACAAAATTTTTTTCCTAAGCTCATATTTGAGCCAGAAATACAAAACTATATAAAATAAATACAAGAAAACTTTGAGCATTTATTTTTAGCACTTCAAAGTAATCAATATATTGTACACTGTCATCTAATTTACATAGAATAAAGCATTACTCCCTTTAATCTTCAGAAGCCTGAAGAAAAAAAAGTGTCCTTGCTTTTGTATCACCTCAAGAAAATTTTATTGTGTCACATACCAGCTTTGACAGCTGCCCCTTTAACAAATAAATAAATGAAGCAGTCAAACCTTCTGGCCAGGATCTCTATCTACTCTGGACAAATTTGGCAGTTTCTTATTAAACTAACATACAACTACCATATGACCTAGCAACGGTATTCCTGGGCTTTTAACCCAGAGATTAAAACTCATGCTCACACAAAAACCTGCACACAGATATGTACAACAACCAGAATCTAGCCAGAATCTAGGAACAACCAGATCATCAATAGGTGGAAGGCTGCTAAACTGTGATATATATCCATCCCATGAAATATACTACTCAGCAATAAAAAGGAATGAACTACACTGATGCACAGATTTCCAAGTGTTACATGATATATAAAAGATGCAGGGTGGAGGATAAAAGGAGCTAACAGTATTCACTGGTTTAGTTTTATTGATGTGTTAAGTTTATCTGCTGGATACACAAATAATTTAACTGCTTCCTTTATATTACAGTAACCTGAGAAGTCTCCAAAGAATTAAGTGACTGCAAAAAGCCAACCTAAAAGGTTGCATACTACGTTACC